TATGTAGAGATGAGCAATATAACAATATTTTATCATTATTCTAATCAATTTTATTGTGGTGATAAAGAACATATACGGCGGATTTTGTCAGAACTTAAAGAACACTGACCAACTGCATGTTTCATTAAAAGTAGAACATCTGTCCTGTTTAACTGGATTTAGTGCAGAGCAGTATATTACACATCATTGTATGTATAGTTTTTGATAGCAATTTTTAAATGTGGTACTACAAGCGCACTGTGTGTGTGTGCCAAAATATTGAGATACATATTTTGTATTATGACATATTTTTGCATATTGCACACCCCTATGCTTATGCATTGCCTTCAGCAGATATGTACATAAAAAAAATATCGGATACAGGCGTATCAACTTTCCTATATTGGTGCAACACTAATAGAGTATCATGAATATTTCTTTAAGTATTGTGCTCTTTTGCCACATCACTCGCCCCTAACAGGCACCGAAAAACCCCTCATAACCTTACACACATATACACTCAGTCAAGGTGTGACGACCAATAGTAATGTGATGTTGCCGCAGACACATCTTGTGTAAAAAGAAAAATAGAGGAAAACATGCAGACGACTTAATGATCAGAAACAAAAAGTGAAGCACAACACTTCAAAGCACACTGATGACGCATTTTTCAATCCAGACCAACAGGCCCAGTTTATCACCTCAGCCTGCGTCAGAAGAGCGGACAGATGGACCAGGCTCAATCGGACAGATAAGCACAAAGACGCAGCAATTTCACCAGAGTACCAAAAACCTTCAAGGACACATCAAAAGGGTCTTGCACATAAAGACATCAACAGCTTTTTCTTTTATTCAGCAAATGGACTTCCTTGGCTAAATAAAATACACTCTACTTTTAGAGGATTATAGCAGAAAGCTCAATTTGTTTCTTGTTTCTCTCATGTTTGAGAAGCACGTGTGCCAGAGTGTGTGAGATGTTGATGACAGGCCTCAGTACACTAGCCAGGTGCCAAATATGTCTCATATGTCATGGTCATATTCCAGTACCCTCTAATCAATGGCTGAAGTTGCTTGTCAGCACTGCAACAGCAACTCTAACCAGTCCCGGTAAATCACACCCCATCACCACCGGAGACGGCTGGAGTGCTGAATGAGACGCAAAGAAATGTAGTTGATCAGCCAAGACACGTTTGTCGTCCAAAGTTTGCTTCTTTAGTTTTGCACTAGAAATACAAGTTTAGCTTGTTTAAAGGTTTTTACATTTTTATAGGCAGCAACACAACATACAGTGTTAGAAACCGCATGAGCAAGTCTGCTGGAAATTACATATCATGGAAAACTAATTTTCTAATTAAGAGAGTTGATGCAGTATGTAATTTCAAATTTTACCTTCACTTCCTTTCATGGAAACTTTTTGTGCTACCTCACAAAAACAACATACTGTCCCTTTCAGGAACAAAACCTCATACCACCAAAAGAGAAAAAAAAAAAGAGCATCTTTAACGTTTAACGAAAGTTCAACAACATCCGATTCTAAGTCATGTTGGACATTGTCTATTGGTCCATTTTATAATGACTGCATTAAAAATCAACACCAACAAAAAAGGAGACACAAAGTTTTGTTTTGTAAACAATGATATATCCAGCTATTCAGCTCCTAGCAGTCTAGCTCTAACCAACTGAATAAAAGTTATACAGTGTGTTTCAGCCTGGACTGCTTTTTCAATATAGGGCAGCCAATCAGAACAGAGGATTTACATACTTCAGTCTTAAAGGCACATTGAAAAAAAAAATAAATGCCTGTTTAATTCAAACGAATAAACAGAGATTGTAAATTAGTCAAGTTAAAATGAATTACATCTGTTTTTTGGTAAATAAATCCACAAGAGTGGGTCAAGAGTTCAAATTTAAGAACAATGCAGCAAATGGTCCCTTTAATAACTCTGTTTTGGGCATGATTTGAGGCAGGTGACTGATGAGTTAGTCATGCTGTTTGCATGATGCTAATTGTTGGGGTTTAATCTCTAGTGCAAAAATAAAGGAGCAAATCTCATATATAAAACGTGTCAGCTGACTGATTACACTGAGTAAGGGGAAAATTGTGTAAACACAATTTTTCAGTTTTTTTCCCCAAAATGTGGTCTCCTGCTCCCCTTGAAAAACACAGATCACCCTCATTACAATTCTGTGCATGTATGCTTTAGTTCGTCCACACCTTGTTGATAGTGTAAGATGTGTTTGTTCAAGAAAAACTACCCTCCAGGGCTCTCTGGCAGCATAAGGACCAAGCTGAGCTGTTAGCATGTGGACGCTTACAACCCACATCAGGCTAAGCCGTGGCTATTAAAGTTTTGAGTTAACCAACAAAAACACTGCTACAGAAATGATATTTCATTTGTAAGGGAAGACATCCCTCCAGCTAGCTGCTAAACTAATTGTGCTATATATAAACAAGAATCCAAGACACTGAGCAAAAGCTGTTTCTCCACTAAGAGAAGCTTCATAGTTTGTCTTACTCCACAGACAGTTCAGTTTCCTTACTGTCTCAAATTATGTGCTTTTTGAACTAAACGCTGCAGTCTTTAAATTGCTGTGTGGTTCACACAAGCACCGATCAAACCACGTCTTCTGTTATGTTATGCCTCATTCAAACTGTTAGCATTAGTACCTCACAAAAACAGTCTCTCTTGAAATTTGGATGTTGGACACACTTTCTGTCCAGTTATACCAGCCATTTTGCCACTGTCCCGACAGATCTCGCAATGTGATTGTCTGAGAGGCAATATTTTTCAAAAATGGCACTACAAATGAATCTCTTTAAGTAGTGTTGCGCCGATACCAGCACTTAAACGCAGTATCATTACCGGTGATGGGGATACAGATACCTGTGACCGTTACCATGAAGCAGTTTCTGATATATCCAGCGTAAAAGCAGCAGTAAAATTGCTCATGGCGGAACCTGTAACGGCACGTTTTGGTGTTAAGAACACTAACCGAGCCACTTACCTGAGCGGCTGAACTGCTTCTTTCGGTGACTATTCGTCTGCCGCTGTGTGCTCTTTTACAGTCGGAGTTAATGTTATTGAGAGAGCGGAAGGAAACGTCGGACACTTTGCATATTGATAGCCTTAGCCTCCACTGAGTCTAGATTTAGCATAGCAGCCCACTAGCTGGGTCTACTGGGCCTCCGCTGGTCAGCTGCATCACTCAGCAGCAGGGTCTCGCGGCCCGTCGCTTCATCCAAGCCAGAAAAAACAGTGAAAGTCTTAAATACCGACAGCATGAACGACGGTGGTATTTACTGAACTGATGCTCAGAGAAGCAGTACGAGTGAACAAGACGCACATATGAGACAAATGAAATTTGAATGTGAAACAATTCAACATTCAGTTCTGTTTTTGAGCCAGAGAAGCTGCTGTGTGCTGATGTGTAAAGACCACAGGTCTATCTGTATACTGTTCAGAACACAGATGTTACCAAAATAGAATTTTAAAAACGTAATTGTATGAATATCAGGACTTCTAGGTTAGTTTAGATAGAGTTAGCATCAGCCGATATTAAAGGATCAGGTATCAGCATCACAAGGGAAAAAGTGGTATCGGTGCATCTCTATCTTTAAGAGATAAGGCTTTTCCATCTGTAACTTAGCAACAATAATCCTCAGTTAAAAAAGTACCAGTGACTTTATTTTAAGTAATGACAGCAAGTGTTCCGTTTTTGACGGTTGACCCATTTATATATTTAACACATTACATCGCATCACGCTGACGTTCCACCTCTATTATCGCTCTTATGCTAGTCGTCTTGAAGGTTTTGTGTTGCAATACATTTAATAGCATGTATGTGCAGCAGCACACAATATGAGCTATTTTTCTTTGTAGAGTATAAATAAACTTTGTTAGTTCATGTGTTATAATTGCCTCAAAATCTAATAAAACTCAATGAAACCGTGGTATAATCACAATATTACATGAGATACTGGCACTGGCGTGCTGATCCATGGCATAGCACTCCCTCTCAGGTACTGTTGCACAACTGCTGTGATCAGAATCTGGCTAGATCAACATAAAAAGAAACTTCCAATCATATGAGGAACCACAAGTGCAAATACAGGCATAGTGTTTACACTACAAAAGCAGAAAAGCCAGATACACAACAGGTGCAGCTATAAGCACATCTTTGTTTTAATGTTGTAATGGAGGATTTCCTAGTATGTCAGTGAGGCCAGTGCATTAAGCTCTGGGGTTGCTACTGGATCATCATTTGTATCCAATAGCAGACTGGCCCAAGTGTGGCGTTACTTAGGAAATCCATTTTTTCTCTCTCTGGTGAAAATCAATAAACATGATCTGCTAACCAAGTGACAGACGTTACCCTATCGCTGCAGAGGTGGGAACTTGATTGAGCTAAAAAGTCATTACTGTGGCACTCAGGAGGCGCTAGAGATTTGGACAAAGTCAATAATAACAAATCAAGACTAGGGGTGACCAGGGGTTGAGATTGGAGGCTTTGAGAGTAGAGTGATCTTAAAGGAGAATAACCCTAAAAACTTTTTTCTACTTGAAGTGCAAAACAAACTTGTAAAGAATCCTAAGATAAGCTAGACTTTGTCTCTCGGGAACAAAACATGAGAGAAGAGAAAACAAGACAGAAAAAATAGTACAGAAAAGAGAGAGATCTTCCCATGTCCTGTGGGTGAAGTGGTGTCTGGGTAATGTGCAATTTGAAGCATCTGAGCATCTCTCCTTGCAGTAAATCCAGCTGAGCGTAGGGCACAGGTCAAACCCAGCGAACAACAGCCAAAACCTCAAAAAGCACTGTCTGCTTACGACTGCACTCTGGGCTTGTGTGCTGGGGACAGCCTGTAGTCTACAGACACCTCGCTATGGCTAAACCCTTTACATTGCAGTGCTGTGGTTTAAAAAGCACTGAGCTCCACTGCACAAAAGCAACAAAACACTAAGTATGTAAACACTAAGTAAGTATATCCTGGATTCCCAGGATATTAGTGCTTTTCTTACCTTATGAAGGGGCAGAACGAGGAAGGCTCCACCGCCACTGGCCTCTACGATTATGGCGACGAATTTGGGGTTGACTGCGCAGAAGGCGCTGTCCCATGTGACCCGAGACACCCTGATGTCATCATAGCACTGGTCGTTCTTTACTGCCTGGCCGAACACGTGCCGGAACTTACTCTGCCGCACCACCCGTCTGAACATATCTGCAGAGACACGGAGCAAGAGAGAGAGAGAAAATGAGGCTGCTTATACTTATTTTCTATGCAGCAACGATGCCTGAAACAGCAGAATCAAAGTTCAAAGTTCAGCAAAAATTAGCCTCACCCCACATTTTGGAATGTGCCAAACACAACAACCAAATAACCACCAAAGACATGATGTGGTGGTTTGCAAATGCCTTCTTTCATGCAACTAGAGTGGCTCTATTCAGTTCCACAGTGAAACAGTACTGAAGTCATGACAGCTGGGGCCTGTCAGAATTACTAACCATGTCACCACTTTAATAGCCAGAATTATTCACACTGGATTGTCAAGCAACAGACAGCATTCCAAATGAATGAGTTAACTGATATCCATGAGTGAAAGAGCCCACACATAATGATATTTTCTACCGATTTATCTGTCCTTGATCATTGTTAGTCAAAGTCCCCACATGACAATCTGCCCTGAATGTAACACCACATACTTTCAGATTATGCACATGAACAAGAGTCCCGACCAATGGTTCCAAGGCCTTGAAACCTTGTGGGATTTTTTCTCAAACTAACAGCACTTTAGACCTAAACAAATAGGGCGGCTGACAACACAGCTATTCTCATGTTGGCAGTGCAGGCTTTCTGCACAGAAAATGCCAAGCAGAAGAAAACAATGTGGATGGAGCCACGGCTGACAAGAAGGGGTCAAGAAGGCTTATACATACTGAAACGCGAGCTTGAGGTGCATACATGCATATACATGAGGTGACTAGTTCTCCATTTAGCCGCCATGTTTACAATGTCTTCAGTACACACTGACTAAAGTTCATCTTAGCTCGACTCTCATTGGTCTTTCAGGCATGACGTTAGGCTGGACTGAGAGCAGATCGAAGGAGTAAAGATTGGGTTACAGACACCCCACACTACAGGATAATCTGAGAATATCATCGTTTAAGAGCACCCTGATATCAGGAGCAAATCGATTATCCTGTAGCGTGTGCCAGGTATAAGCTGTTGTTTAATGTCCACTGTGCAATTTCAGAAATATTGTTCTTTAGTGACAACTCACACTGTACAGTTAAACAGACCATTGTGTGCAGACAAAGCCTACAATTTATACGCTCATACTACACGAAAACGCTCAGCCCGATTGACATGCTTTGTGAAACACAAACGGTCTGAGAAACTGTGCTACAGCAGCTTTGCTAACTTGTACCACACTATGCACTGAAACAAAAAGCAGGCAATGACGTACATGAGTAGGATGATACGGTCTCTCTACTGCTTTACAAAGACAATTTAATATTTGTGTAAAGTAAGAATCAATTTGCATTCTGAGTTTGTCTCACCACAGAAAAATGCATTATTAACCACCCAGCCACATTTGAAAGATTTAAAGAAAAAAAAAACAAAAAAGGCAAGTATATAAAGTATATATAAAAAAAAAGAAATTGAGCAGTATGCTCTTCTCTAAAAACTGGGGGAGTATCTGCTGAAGGCGTTGAAACTACAGCCATTTGCAGGAAAGGTGCAGCCTCTTTTCAGCTTCGTGATCACCAGAATGTAACTGCTGCACCACTTCAGGTGGAACGGGAAAACTCGAACAAGAAGCAGGCGAATAGTAACCAGACTTCAGCTTCGGGCTAACATTAGCATATCCATTAGCTCACTAGGTTAAGCAGCAAAGTGTCTCCTGGGTTGAAAGTAAGCCTCGTTCTGCATCTGAATGGTCATTTTTTTTCCTTCCAATTATGCAAGTTAGCAAAAGGGATTACAGACTAGCATAACCTAGCCAAGTAAAGTTAGGCTGGGAGAATCACTAATGCTAATGTGCTCTAGTTTTTACATGTTATAGTGCTATGGGAGGGGTCAGGCTAAGTATGGCCCCAGTGCGTCATCAAGCCTCAATTGCAGGTCCACCAAAAAAAACAAAACCAAAAAAAAATTTCCTGAACACAAAAAATGATGAAAAACAATTTAACAGTCCAACTCTGGAATTCAGTACTACATAGTTTGCAGTCTTTTCACGTTTTCAGTAATTATTTTCTAATATGTATATGGTGTTAAGAAACAAATATCTGAATTTACAATAAAACCTCACTGCATTAACCTAATACCAATCCCAGTTTTTCTCTTCCAATACTGATTCTGATACCCGAACTCTGGGTCAGTGCTTTAAAAAAAAAGATTTATTGCAATTCTGTACACCTTTATGTGTTTAACACGGGGCTCTAACTAAAGCAAGAGATTAAAAAATTAAAATTAATGAGACTGAAAAGCAAAAAAGAAGGCAGTATAAAAAAACATTTTATTATGTTACTGTTATCACGCTTCTGGATAATGCAACAGCAAAATAAACATTAATTATTAATTCCAGTGTGAACTTTTCAGTGCAACAATAAATTTGTAAAATCTAAACATTCAAAGAAAATGCGAGTTTTACCCTCAAAACTTTAGCTTTCCAAGTATTACAAGTTGCTGTGCTACTAACACCTTTGTGAAGCGTAAAATCTCAAATCGCAGACGTTTGTTATTAGCCAGCATGTGTTGTGTCACTTGTCTTGTTAGCTGATGTTTAAATCGAGGATTTTTTTTAAATGAATCATGCTTATTATTCATGTTATATTTAACCACATTATTCAAATTTAATTCACCTATAGCTTTTCAGCCCACATAAAAGGACAGATGTTTATTTGTGTTTTCAACACTACAGTGTAAAAACCATAAAATGGCAAGTTTATTTTTTTTAAACTGCATTGCCATATTATCCTGGAGAACTTTTAAAGAACTACACATAACAAATGTTGGGGAAAAGCGTTGTTCATATTACGTATTTCTGAAGAGAATATCGGCCGACACGTTGGATTTCATTCGGATTTTTACAGCATCAGAGACAATATCCAACTTGTTTAACAAGGTCAGTATGAGTGCATCACTAGTATTAACATTTAAACCAAACAATTCTGTCCAGACAGACCAAAGTCGGCATAGACAGACTTTGGTAACAAACGTCAAGTTTTGTGCCTCCATTTTGCAAGTTTACGTGTCTCCACATGTACTGGGGAGTTGGTTGTGATTGTGTTTCTGTATGTTTAGAAACACGCTAAAATCACTCAGTGCATACCTGGCAAGAATATGCCAAGGAAGAGTGTTTAAAGTGACCAATCACCAGGGGTGGGAATCTTTAGGCACCTCACGATTCGATTCGATTACAATTCAGAGGGCTGCGATGCGATTATAAAACGGTTATCGATGCATCTCGATGCATCTTTTTTCTCTATACATGATTTCTATCTTCCAACTGTCTGAGGACTTGGTAGTTTTTAAGCAAAGTATTTGTAATGATCCATAATGTAAATGCATTACGGATCATTACAAATACTTTGCTTTAAATATCTAAAATATCTATTATTAATAAATAAAATGGAAGTGATGTGGCAAGTGAACTAGAGGGCTCTCATTCAGAGACGCTGCTGCCACTCATCTGCGATAAAGCGCGCTGTTGCCCTGAAATAAGATCCAGTGGCAATGGGTGTCCACGCAGTACATTACAGCCACCCTTTTGGTCTCGTTGTAGAGAGTGGGGGGGTATTTTCGAGACTGGATGCTGAATCTCGGCTCCAAAGTGTGCAGCATAACGCAAAAGCCCTGGTTCTCAACGACTGAGAACAGACAGCAGGTCACATAGCCCCGAAGTCTGGCCTCGCCAGTGGCGAATGAAAAAACAGTTTAAGACGAACATTTGGAGGACTTATTCGCATTTATAAGCAGCGCGGTTGGTTAAATCTGCTGAGAGACTGTCTTTCTCTAAAAAGTTGCGAAAACGAACTCGCTTCTCTTTTGTATTTTCCCGTTCCACCTTAAATGGTGCAGCAGTTACTGTAGTAACTGCAGTTAGTTGGAACAGGAAAATTAGAACGAGAAGCTGGTGAATGAGAAGCGACTTCAGCCTCGTAAAACAGCCGGATGCTGAGACATTTTACAAGAAACTCTTCTAGTTTTGAAGAAAAGTTTTCTGGTGGAAATGGAAGGAAAGCGGCTAAAGCTAAAGCTTAAAGCAGAGCGAAGTAAATCTGCGCTCTCGTTTATATTTTTAGCCCATACTAGTACATCAGCACATACTGAGACATACTGGACATTAAATGTTGTGGCTCCCAAGGTGGTTTGACTTCGTTGAAAGGCAAAATGGCTCTTCTTATCATTTGTGTTGTGACTCCTGACCTAACCTGGCTTTTAATGCAGAGGGAGCCGGTTGAATTTCTCGCTCCTCCAGTAGTGTTTTTGTTATGTGCCGCCACAGACTGTCCGGGCGCTGCACTTTCCCACTTCCAGTTCAGCCTTTTGCGTTCCGTCAACATTACGTTATAAATTAAATATTTAGAAAATCGATTTTTGACGTTGAATGAATCGATTCAGAATCGTTCACGTCCGCATCGCAATGCATCTAAGAATCGAGTTTTTCCCGCACCCCTACCAATCACTGTGTCTGACTGCCACGGCACTGGCAGCATTTTGCTGTGTAAGCAGACCCTCTTTCAATTGCTAGCTTGAGTCGTTTGTTCATTAGCACAGAAGTGTACATTCAGCTTACGTCACATGGTATTAGGTGGAATCTAATGCAGGTATTGGTGCAACCAGTATGAATAAATGAGCACAATATCAGGCCAATACCTGTATGTGTATCAATGCATCTCTAGACAAAACATCACAATGTAATACTGCTATAGACCACAGCTGTGACATGCCAGGCAACATATTAAAAACAGATCAACACCTTTCAAGAATTTTTATTTTGAATAAAATTTATTGTATTTGTCAGGTCATATGAATGTGTAATGCTTATTAGGATCATTTGAGGCTGGTCAGGATTTTTCAAAAAAAATTGTACTCATCTTTATACTGTTGGCCAAAACCACAGTAATGATACACAGCACAGGTTTAACATAGGTTTATTAATTTTTACTTTTAAGAACACCGTTTTATCAAATGAGGCGTACACTTTGTTCATC